CTCAGTGAAGTACCTGGGTGTCACCATCGACAGCAATCTTCGTTGGTCTACACATATTTACAACTGTGTGGGGAAACTGAGACGCCTATCTTTTCTGTTACGTAAACTCAGGCAATTCCGAACTCCACAATCAGTCCTGTCATCTTTCATTCATCAATGCGTTTTACCCATTCTACTTTATTGCTCTCCTGTAGTGTTTCCCGGTCTTTTAAAACACAACTTCAAAACAAATCGCCGCGGTTTGGTGATAATCAGTCGTGCATCNCATCACTAATCCCAATTGATTTATTAACCACAGATCTCATTGATAGTCACATGAACTCTTGTTTTGAATTTGCTCACAAGATTCTGGACGACCCTCTTCATCCACTACACCCTGATCTACCGTCTTGTCGTTCCCATCCGTCCACACGCTCCTCATTTCGACAAGTACCCTCTCGCATTAACATTTATAAAAATTCCCCTGTACCCTACCTGGCCCGACTAATCACCAAAAAGGAACAGGTCTCAAATGAACTACGTCAAATGCTTCGTACATAATACATATATCACCGACCTTGTTTACCTTTTGTTTTGATTATTTTTATTTCATTCTGCGTGACGAACAGTGTACATTTTTAACTGAAATGTAAGCATATATCCTTACAAAAGTTACAAATACAATACAATACAATACAATACTTTACACGTTAGAGGGGAGATAGAAACACTGAACCATACATGTCTTAGGGCGGTGATTTTTGTTGATTGAACAGTCATCAAGAATCTTGGAAACATGATTGCTTCTGTCTTTAGACTATATAGCTCTTCTGAGAGGAAAAGGGAGGGAGATTTATGACGGTGTAAGATAAAACAAATGTTTGTCCATCTACATTCATTTTTCTTTATCATACTCCGAGGACGGTTACGACTGTGCTGTCAACGGAATGCGCCAGTAAATCGTTCTGGCTTCCGAAGAGAGACAGGATTGGTGAGTGGTTGCGAAAAACAATGAGATATAAAATATAAGTCCGCTTACAATTGGCCTTAAGGCGAATGAATTACCATATGAATGTCAATCGACAGGCGGAGGAGGTGAAAAGGCTTGAATGATAAGGAGATAGACAAGATGATCACTTGTGTATAAAAACCGTTGAGTGGAGAAAATCCTTTTCCATCTAATTTGGGACTATTGTTGTTCCCAATCCCAATTATCCCTCGCTTCTCCCAACGATAGCATCGCACCCTCTTCGGCCCTCTCGGTTTATTGCTTCGCATTCGTTATACCTTCTGTGGTTCAAGTTATCCGAATATCATTTCAACTGGCCTGAGCACCACCTCAAACTGTCCCGTTGAACCCTTGTACTTATCAAGTCCCCCGCACGTATTGTGATACTTACAGAACATTATGATAAATTATAAGATAAAAATGGGAATGTTTTTCAAAAGTGCACTTCTCTGAGTATGGGCTGTGAGTTTGATAATCTGTCCCGCTGAAATCATATAATCTTAATAAAACACTTCAACCACACAAAGTATACTGGATGTATTAAGGATCAGATCAGACACTCACGGGTAACTAATGCGAACTGGCTTCGAACAACCTTATTGGCGATTAGGGCTGTGGCGTGATATAGCAAAGGAACGAAACGCTACTCTATGGGTAATGTCAAGACCAACGATTGGTTTGTTATAGGGTGTGCTTTCTATAGCTGATTTAGGTCAACTAGTAACCCTCAACGTTAATAGAAATGCAACCGCATACTAAAAAAGATCTAAACAGTAACTATTTGTGGGAAGCAGCATTAAGTGTGTGAATCTATAGATCGCCGCTAATCAGGTCAATCGCCATTGTCATGTTTTCCTTCACAAATCACTTGACTATGCAAGGGCCAGAGATACAACCTCCATGACAATAAAACCGAGGGTTACCAGGACGGTGTGGTGATTGTGGAACGAGTACGTACACACAACGATACAGCTTCTGGGTAGCCAATCAAGAGACCGTCTTCTAGACCAATCATGTAGTATCGATCAATCGGATTGGTTGAATAATAAAAGGCAGCCAAATGAGCGTTGTCTTTGTCGGATGGACATCGAAGAATCGATCAATGATTGTCTGACACTTGTGTTATCTATTTGCATGATTCTCCGAACAGAGTTGACAGCATCCAGAACTCGTTTTGGTTCTACGTGACTTTGCTCTATTCAGTGGGTTCTCAGTTCGAATCCACGGTTCACGCGATTCGATTTCGATTACTATTCGGAATAATACAGACCACCACTTTCATCTCATTCCCATGATTCCTCATCGGTTAATACACGAAACTGAATAATCTTTGCATGGTACAAAGTAGGTTTAAACAATAGAAAAATGCTTCTATAGTTTAGACATTTCTGAGCGACGCAGTTTGAGCACGATGGCTTATTGTTATATATTACATCGAAAAAAGTTTATGAACATCGTACAAATGTTTCTTTCGTCCCATATCTAAGATCAGGTAAAGCGTTTCGAAATTCAGTGTTAGTCATCACAAACTATCACTTTTCACTCTCCAATTGATGGGCCGTTTTCTTTGTCCGAATTTCTTCAAGTGTGCCCATTACTGGACGTTGTCATTCACGTTTATCTGCGTGCAGCGTGTCCCATGGGACCAGATCTCTTAGTCTCGAACACGTTCATCAATAAACACATATATCTGCAGGAGCAGAACTGCGACTCCACTATACTTACTCACTTTTTTTGCATTCCTGAAAAAATCGATTTATTGATCAATGTTTCACATGTCAGTTTTATTATTTCTAAGTCGTATGATCACCTATAGTTTTTGCTAGACGTTGAGTGAGATACCTATGTGCAAGCCCTTGTTAGTCAGTTCGCGTGAAATCATACAGAATGAGAAATGATACGCGTGGATCAATATTTATCAAGCAAATTTTTTTAACTCTTCCAGCTTACTGACGTAAGTATCCACACTTTCGTTTTGATGACTCTTCAACCAATCGGATATCTGCTGGCATAGCTGTTTTAGTTCTGTGCTGTCTTTGGCTTTTTGTTTCGCTTCTAAGAGTTTCAAATTCAAATTGATAATCGCTGCGTTTCTTTGTGCATACTGTTTCGTCTGGTTCACTAGTTCATGTACACGTGTTCGCATCTGATCATTGGCCGCTTTGGATAAACCGTGCAATACATTGACTTGCAGCTCACCTCGCACCGGACTTTTCTGCCAAACAGGGCCAACAGATCGAATCTCGTGTTGTCCAGTTACAGTCAGTAGTCCATTTTCATCCACGGAAAATTGAATGCGAACAGTCACATCATGTTTGCGCATTTTTGGAATTCCCTCCAGCAAAAATTCACCCAGAAAAGTATTCTGAGTTGTGTCCGGATTCTCACCTTGAAAAACTGCCACTCTCATGGAGCTCTGATCATCTTCCACAGTACGGGCCACTTTCTCCGTTGTGATGGGCAAAAACTCACCGGCCGAGATGAATATGTGCATACGGTTGTTCTCTTCGCGTAAACCCAATGAGTGCGGGATCACATCACGAATCACTAGATCCTGTACGGTCTGATTGTCCATATTGGTCATTGTCGGTGTGGACGCGTAAATGGCTGCACCCATTGCCACAGCCTCCTCGGCATTGATGGATTTGCTGAGTAACACACCAGGAAACGACTCGGCCAAGAGTTGCTGGATTCGTGGAATTCGAGACGATCCACCGATCAGAAGAATCTCATCTATCTGTTCAACTTGTCGTTTTTGCAACATTTCTCGCACAATATCGATGGTTCGACGAAACAAGGGTTCGTTTAATTGTTCAAATTGTTCTCGGGTCATCTCGAGTGGGTACGTTTTGCCTTGAATGCGGAGTCCACATCGAACTGGGCTATCATGACTGAGAAGAAGTTTTAGCTGTTCACAGGCTGCACGTAAATCATGCTGTGAAATCGCTTTCTCGGTCGTGTCCACACCACGCTCCAGAAGGTCTTTTTTAAAATGGATAGCCATATTCTGTACGAAATCCTCTCCACCCAAATGGGCATCACCGGAAACACAAAGCACATCTCCTGTATTATCCTCCTTTAACCGGACCACGCTTGCGTCAAAAGTGCCACCACCAAGATCGTAGACCAGGATTGTTCGCGGTACTGTAAACCTTCGTTTCTGACTATATGCAATTGCAGCCGCTGTCGGTTCGTTTATCAAACAGACGACCTCCAATCCAATAAGTTCGGCAGCTGTCATAGTAGCTTGCCGTTGTGAATGTTCAAAATAGGCAGGGACAGTGATGACAGCTTTAGTGACTTTTTTCCCTAGGCGCATCTCGCCCTGTTCTCGTAGGTAGTTCAACAGCAGCGCCGTGACCTCCTCAGGTGAAATATGCATCTCCTTCTTTCCCTGTGTCACAACCATTTTCGGTCGATCATTGTCTGACACGATCGGAAATGTCCACATGTCCCGATTTCGCTGTAATTCTTGATTGGAGAATTTCTGTCCGATAATTCGTTTAATATCATAAATAGTGTTCTTCGGATTCGATAGAATTTGATCCCGAGCAGCGGTACCGACTAATACTTGGTGTTCTGTGAATGCCACATAACTCGGTGTGGTTCTGTTTCCATGACTGTTTATCACTACATGTGGTTTTCTGTTTTTTATCCCGTAGACGCAGCAGTTGGTTGTCCCCAAATCAATTCCGATCGCGGTTGCTTCCATGTTGTATGATGAGACCGATATGTTTTATCTTCCGGATCAGACTCAACTAAATAAAGTCAGAGCAGAATTTAATTAAGTTCTTATAGCTTGTTCCCGTGACAGAGTGACACGCGAAGTGAGGAGGCTGATTGATTTCTGATAAACGGATCAACCACGCTATGCGCACGTCAACAGCCGACAGCACGTGATATATGTATGTTCTGGTGTGCCTCCTAGTGCAATTCACACAATTCTGTATAGGTCTTATCCACTCAGTCAGGAATGCAATCGAACTTTACCT